TGGTTTCTTTAAAATCTATCCTTAAGAGATATACCAGCATCTGTTTCTAGAGACTTAACTCCCACTTAGTCAGGGCTTAATAGGTTGCACCTGCACTAATGAGTCAGGAAAGCATCTGTTTGGCATCTCCCAGCAGATTCTTCTTCCTGGGAAGAATTCTCACTGTGATACAGTAACAAAAAAGCCCCAATTGCTGATTTTCCTTGTGGAAAAAGCTCTTCGCAGACAGTAAAAATTAAAGAAGACACTTCCTGGTGAGCTCAGGGTTTAAAAATTCCAAAGAGCTACCCAAGATCTTAGGCCGATTGTTTTCTTTAAAATCTGTTCTGTATTAGTGAACTTTGGTTCAATGAAATGAACACATTTATTCAGTATTGCTGCAGTTCCTGTGCTGGGAACTGAGTTACAGATAAGGAGTTAAACCAGTAGCTCCTGAACGGGCGTACATAATTCATAGTCTACAGCCACTACAAAATGGTGTGTGCCTCAATGAAGAACAGGAAGCTGCTATTGCAAATGACAGTGCTCTAACTGCTGCTGATACTTTGTACCATCAACTACTACTGATAATAGTAGGAAGTTTAAGAAAAAAACAACTGTGGGTTATAAACTTTCCTAGAGCATGGAAGAAGTGATCAGTGAATTTCATAATATGGAGCAAAGCTTATTATTTTCTAGTTATCTTCATCTGGAGAAAATTGTGGCAAAATGTGCTAATTCTACCAAAAAGTGGCAGTGGTGTAACAGTTCAATGTAAGTTTAGTGGGCAAGACTGTGACAGAAGTGCCAAAGCTCCAAATATAGAGCAGTATTAGAGGGCACTGACCAATAACATAACATTTCTGCAACTAAATGAAACTCCTCTGCGTGCTCTTTTGTGTGCTGTCATTCTTACTTCTTAGGAGAAGCTTACTGTTTTCTCTTGTACCATGCTGAAGGCATGGACACCATCTTCCACTTAAGAGCAGCTTCTTTTCTCATCAACGTACTCCAAGACAGAAACTACCCATAGCTTAACAGTTTGGTGGGAGAATAATTACAACGTCAGCATCACAAAAGATCGTATGTAAAAACTACAAATCTTTCAGTAGAGGAAATGCAGTTTTACTGTAAAGCTTCGATATCCTAATCCAGCCTCAAGATCTACTCACTCTAGACAAGAGCAAATGGTTCTTGCCAGCCCATGCCAGTGTTAATACTGTAGATCACAGAATCACAAAATGGTTTGGGTTGGAAAGGACCTTAAGATCAACCAGTTCCAACCCTGTACCATGGGCAGGGATGCCTCTCACTAGACCATGTCGCCCAAGGCTCTGCCCAACCTGGCCTTGAACACTGCCAGGGATGGAGCATGTACCACTTCTCTGGGCATCCTGTGCCAGCGCCTCAGCACCCTCACAGTAAAGAACTTCTGCCTCATATCTAACCTGAACTTCCCCTGTTTCAGTTTAAACCCATCACTCCTTGTCCTATTGCTACAACCCATGATGAAGAGTCCCTCTCCAGCATCCTCATAGGCCCCCTTCAGATACTGGAACGCTGCTCTGAGGTCACTGTTTTCCTGTTCCTTAATTTCGCTTTAAAATGTAATACCACAGGTCCAGCTCTCTATAATGCAGAGAAGATAAAATTCATCAGGGCTATGAACTGTTCAAATAACACTGTGATGAAAATTACATTAAACAACAGAATTATTATAAATACAGAGTACCTGTTAGCATTACTTTTAAACCAGCAAATGCAATACCCTCAGTTTTCTCTTGTTCTTAGCTTTCTCAAATGATTTTCATCTCCTGACATCATTCTTGGATTGCTATAGCATGTACAAACTCTTCCAAACAGAAACGTAACCAAGCTTTGCCATTTAATAAAGGATGTTTTAATAAAAGTGGAGCTTGAGTTGAAAAACTAGACCTTTGTTCCTTCTTTGGAGCAGAAGTACTCCAGATCAAGTTCTGCAGGCTGCCTCCCAAATCCTACCCTATCTCACTGCAGCAGTGCTAAAAAGAAGGTTTGGGAAGCAGTCAGCATCACTTATTTTATCCTGTTCCATGTTTTATTCCCTATGCAGTTCACAGACAACCAATGAGAGCTGTCTAATCAGATACCTTTCTTCACTGCTACTCCTTCTGTTAAAGACTCAGTTAAACTTGCCTTCTCTCCCCCTTTATTTATAAACTTAAACAAGAATACACAGGGGTGAAGATAAGCCATTTCTTTATGAGATCCCTGAAGCAACTAACATCTTGCCTTGACCATATACTTAAGACCAGAGAGAGGTTACAGTGCATAGCTGTGGAAAGACAATGGCAGGCAGGTGACTCCCAGTCACCAGGCATGTTGGTTTAAGATCCATGGAGTAATTTCTGTTCTTGTTTTCAAATAGGAGATGCTTGATATCTCTCTGATCTTCTGACATCTGTGACTACACATGAGAGAACCCAAAGGCTGTACAAAACACAGTATTACAGAATACAGCTCTGGAGCTCATACCCCCAATGTACGTATTACCTCTATCTACAGATGCTACTGCTACCAAGCACACTTACTGTTTTGTAAGACCAGGCATTGTAATTAAGGTGTAAGGAAGGAGGAATTTGACCTTGTGGAAGAAAGCACACAGACATTCCAGCTTTAACCCTGATTACTGGAATAAGAAAGAGATAAAGTCAGCATGAAATACTGAATTATTTAATTTCAATATGAAATATTGAATATAGAATAATTTATTGCATTTAATAATTTTGATTATGTTTAGTACAACAAGGATGAGAAATTGCATATCTCAGCTTTAGTTGTGTAAATACTTTGAGCTGATATGTCTAAGGTCTCGGTTTCCTTCCTCATTGCTTTAACAGACTTACCAGCACATGAACTCAGAGAAGCACTGTAAGAGAAAAATGGCAGAAAATATGTATCACCCTCACAGACATTTTTCTTACATATCCTGGAGATAGAACTGTCAATAGATCACAAGCTCCAAACCTCAACATATTATTAATCCTTTTTTGGACTTTAGATCAGCTTATGAATTTTGCAGTTGGGAAGCAGAAGTCACCAAAGGCATAGAGAATGTCTAGAAATGGAATAGCATAACTACTCAACATTGAAAAGGGGCTTTCCTTATCTCTACATTCTCTCCCTTCCTTTCCCCTTTTATTGCAAATACCTGAGTTACTATGCTTGTCTTAGAAAATGGAAAACATCATACATTTTACTATCAAGGCCTATGATCTTGACACATAACTTCCATTCACAAGCGAAGTATGCACCTACAGTTGTTCCTCAATGCAGACCAAGTCACCATAAAGCTACACACCACTGTGTCTGTACAAATGACATCTCTCACTCCTTGATAACGCCTGCAAAATAGAATACAGAGATGAATGTGACTAGAAAACACTGTAAAATAGGTTTTGTACATGCCGTGGTGGGTGTTTAGTAGGTTGTCCCTTTGCTTTTTTCAGCTGCAGTGCAGGTACTGGGATTCCTAGGCACTCTAATCATGAGGATACAGAAGATTTTAAAGAATTTTCATTCTGAAGGCTTTACACACGGCTCATGCCAAAGTTCTAAGCAAATAAAGATAGCTCATTTATTAAAGATTAATTATTAAAATAATTTCTTAGGCATAAAGGAAGGGTTTGCTATGTGTTTAGTCCCAGCTCCTCTTATTTACAATTTACTTTCCACTTTAATGCAGCAAACAGCAACAGCAGGTGTGTGGGAGTGATGCAGCCTTTCCAGGCTATGGGAGGACAGTTCTTGCATATGCTTCTTGGGCAGCTGAACAACTACAGACTTCAGCCTAAAAGACCCCATATTTATATACATTTGAGAGGTTGCAAATGCTTATTAATCTTGAAAGATCCTACTGTTTTCCCTGAACTTTTATTAGTTTGTATTTGGAATAAAATAGGGCTGCCATGTTCAAACGTTTGAAATCTGTGGGTAGGAAGAGAACACTCATTATATGTAATTTGAATGACTGCCTACCAGTGAAAACACAGGCACTGGCTGTGACCTTAGGAGTTGTTTGGGACTCTGTATCAGCTAAAGGTATATACTGGCTGGAGTATTTCTATTCCTTGGAATACCTTGCCACTAGACATCACATAATCTTTGAAGTCTCTTCCAATCCAAACCATTCCATGATCCTATGATATGGTACCCTATTACTGGTGGATAATTAAATCCAACTGCTGTATTCTCAACCTATTAGTTGTAACCTGTAAATAAGCACAGGTTTGTTTAAAACCATTTAGTACAAAACATGTTAATTTGCTTTTATTAACACATTTTAAATTGGTTTGCCAATATGTACTTTATGTTATGGTTCATGATAGCTATTTGATCACAGAATCACAGACTGATTTGGAGAGACCTTAAAGCTCATCCAGTTCCAGCCCTCTGCCATAGGCAGGGACACCTTCCACTAGAGCAGGTTGCTCCAAGCCCCTGTGTCCAACCTGGCCTTGAACACTGCCAGGGCTGGGGCAGCCACAGCTTCTCTGGGCACCCTGTGCCAGCACCTCAGCACCCTCACAGGGAAGAGCTTCTGCCTAAGAGCTCACTTACATTCCTCTCTTTTAGTTTAAAGCCATTACCACTTAAATGAGATGTAACAAAGTAAACCAATGAGGAATGAAATTCCTTCTCCTGATTCTGGGGTCAGAATTATATGAAGCCCCATGAAACACCTCTGCAGACCATTGTGGTTTGGTTCATGGAGCTTGCTCCAGTACTCTTAATAGAACTCAAAATGTTGTAAAAATGTGATATTTGGGAGAGCCCTAAAAGGGACAGTGCTAAGCATAAGCACAGATTAGTTTTATTATTTTATTTTAGTACTACAGTGAGCATATTTCTTTTCTTTTTTACAGTTGTGGAAATAAAAATCGCAAAGCAATCCAACGCTTTTTTCATCCAGGAGAGTAACCAAGACTGAATTTCTAAGGCCTGGACGTCTCTGATTTTCATTCTGTGTCCCTGTGCAAAAGATGTCAAAAAACACTACAGACAACTCAACTATCACTCAACCAGCTGTTCTAGGTGTGTTCCTGGGAGGCATTTCACTGATCACTATTGTCATGAATATATTAGTACTATGTGCTGTGAAAACTGAAAAGAAGCTGCAAACTGTTGGTAATTTATACATTGTCAGCCTCTCTATTGCAGATCTGATCGTTGGTTCAGCTGTTATGCCCTTGAACATTGTTTATCTCCTGAATTCTCAGTGGATTCTAGGCTTACCAGCCTGTTTGTTCTGGCTGTCAATGGATTATGTGGCCAGTACTGCATCCATTTTCAATCTCTTCATATTGTGCATTGATCGTTATCGTTCAGTTCAGCAACCACTGAAATATCTCAAGTATAGAACAAAAACAAGAGCCTTGGTAATGATTTTGGGGGTTTGGTTGCTCTCTTTCATGTGGATCATTCCAATCCTAGGATGGCATGTTTTTGCTAATAACGGGAAAAGGAAAGTAACTGAAACCAAGTGTGATACTGAATTCTCTGAAGTCACCTGGTTTAAAGTGCTGACAGCCATTGTGAACTTCTACATACCCTCTATCATGATGTTGTGGTTCTACTATAAAATATTCAGAGCTGTTAGAAAACACTGTCAACACCGAGAGCTCATCGATGGATCACATCAGCCTTTCTCAGAAAAAAATTCCATACACCATAGTAAGACAAAGGACAAGCAAAATATTTGCCTCCATAATCAAATCTTGGATGAGAATAGCCCTCCCAAAGACAAACAAAGCTCTCCTCATCCCAAAAATATGGAGGCAGAGCTTCAGTTTAGTAATCCTGACAAGTCTTCAAAGGCATTTGTTAGCAAGAGTAATAAGAAAGTCCTTAAATGGGGCTGTTTCCCTCTCACCACTATCCAGTCTGAGTCAGGTCAGGATAAAGCAGGAAAGAAGCATGTGTGTGTAACAGAAGAGAACGAAACTGAAGAGGAGCTTTGCTCACAAGACAGTGACTTAAGTGATGCATCAGACAGCCAGAGTTTCAGTGACAATGTACCTAATGGAGACCACGCCAATCCTAACCCTGGAAGAGCTGGCAGTCCTCAGGAAAAGATTGAGAACAGGGATTTCAAAGGACTGGCTTACCTGAGAAAAGCCTGGCAAAGTCTGCATGCCCATTCCAAAAGGCACATTCAAGGACTGCATGTGAACAGGGAGAGGAAAGCAGCTAAGCAGTTAGGCGTCATAATGGCAGCCTTTATGCTGTGCTGGATTCCCTATTTTGTGTTGTTTATGGTAATAGCTTTCCAGGGGCGTGAAAGATTCGCACAGTTACACATGTTCACTATGTGGCTTGGCTATGTGAACTCCACCTTGAATCCATTCCTGTATCCTCTTTGTAACCAGAATTTTAAGAAGACATTCAAAAAGATCCTTCACATTCACTGATACTGGTCTGATTTTTTTTCAGCTTAAAAGCAGCTCAAGATTGCAACCAAAATGTTCCAGTTTCAAAGACAAACATAATGGGGAAAGTAGAAGACTTTGGAAAACTGTAATTGACAAACAAGTGTAAGTACAAGTGAGAAATGTGCATTTAACAGCTTTACACATTTGAAGAAGAACTAATTCACATCAGGAACATGAAAACCTCAGGGGCAATCCCAGAACTGTTACACAGCTTACAATTAGAGATTACCTCTTTCGTCATGTAGAACAAAAACTGGAGATACAAACAGAAATCTTCAGTGACTATAAATTATTCAGCTACAGCAAAAGAAGTGACAGAGTAATGTTTCTGCAATTGGCCAAATATCTCTTCTCTTTCAGCTCACTCCATTAAACAAGGGAACACTGCCTGTGAAGTGAAATCTGCAAGTAAATGTACTTTGCATAGAAAGTAGCTTCAGCTGTTTTAAAAATCTACCCTATTTATTTATAGCTTCCCCAAATCATAAACTTTTTTGAAATCTCAAGTCATACTGTAACCTACTATATCTCTTTGATATTGTGCTTGCTTCATTTATACCTGTTCATGTTAACTTCACTGAAAAAAAACCAACCTGGTTTTATGTCCTAGAAATTTTGCAAAGACTTTCCAACTCAACATACTCTGTCTATTCAAGAAGGGTATGCTGTTGTTTCTAGGTTTACAGAATATAGCTAATTATAGACTACATGTATTTTCTTCTTCCTACAAGCTGGCAATTAACCTAAGTGTGCAGTGGCAGTACTAATCCATATATCCTTATCTTGTAGTAGGCAAACTCTTCTTATTTCAATGAAGCAAACTCATGAGCTACAACTCAAGCTTGCAAAACTGAAAATAAAATACATGAACTGTGTTTACCTTTTCTATCCTTCATATTTAATTGCATTTTATAAATCATGCTATAAATGCTGTAACATTTCAGGAGAAACTCACAAAAATACAATACTCTGTGTTGGAAGTGATCTCAGGAGGACGTATAAGTACAACCTACAGCTCAAAGCTGGGCTGGCTTTGATATTACGTCATGTTGCTCAGGTCCATGACTTGAATGACAAGCATCTGTAAAACCAGCTTCATCTGGAAAAGCTGGGAGACAGCCTTGCAGAGAAGTTTGCAGCTAAGGTTCACTCTACCTAACTTGAGCATTCACTTGCTCAGCCATTGATTTAACTGTTTCTAAGTACTAATTCTTGAAACCAGACACACCCCGTTACACAACAGCAATCAATCCCCTCTTCCTAACTGCAGTCAGGTTTAGATTTGTTCCCAAAGGAAGAAAACATATAATACATAGAGGCATATGTCACAGAATCACAGAATCATTAAGGTTGGAAGGGACCTCCTGAGATCACCTAGTCCAATGGCCCTGCCAAAGGCAGGGCCACTGAGAGCAGGTCCAAAGGAACACATCCAGATGGGTGTCATGCGTCCATGTCGCATGAGTTAGCTTATCTGGAAGCTTACAACTCCACAGAACAATTAGACCAATATAAGAAATAGTCATTAAGAAAGAGTATATGGATTTGGGAGGAGGAAGAAGAATCAAGGCTCAATGCAAAAAGAATGTCCTCACACTCATTTTGTTGTGCTGATGGATTCACCACCTCCTGAATATTATTTTGCTTCTGAAGTTGCTCAGTTTAACAGCAAAATGTCAAGAGTTTGGTGGAATGGGTTGAAGGGATGTTCTGTGTAGTATCTTTATTTCATCAGAAGTGAAAAATGGTAGTTTAATGGTTGAAGGATAAATTCTGAATTCTATGTTCTGAATTAATGATCCTGAGCTACTTAGAGACTGTGTCATGTGAGCCCGTTTCATGAAGCAGTATGACAAGACTTACAGTAACAACCTAACACTTAGGATAACGTTTGCATGATGCTCACAAGTTTTGGATATAATACACTAAGTATATGCAAAGTATTATCCTCTGTCAGTTTTATTTCTCTGAAATTAAACACCTGAATGTCAATAGTTGTATTTAAAGTATTCAGTGTTAAATGGAGCCCTAATATATCTGCATTTCAATAAACTGGAAACGTGTTAAAGGAATAAACTTAAGCCTTTTTAAATGCATCATACGAGATTAGCTGACTTTGGTCTCAAGTAGCATGCAGTTAAAACTGCAATAAGGGAACTCAAACCTAGGAGGAAAAAAAAGTGAAAATACAGAGACAGACTACAGAAGCAGCAAAATTCATTCCAGAATTGAGACAACTTTGTCACTGCAGGAGCAGTATCTGCTCAAATAGTAAAATACCCCTTCTTTTGGACTACAGAGCAACATCTTTTGAACTACAGAGCAACATCTTTTGAACAGATGCTCTCATCCAATGGCCTTTCATAAACAATTTCTCAGATTCACAGCTATTACCATCTTTTTTTGCTTCTGTGATAGCAATTCCAGCCACAACAGATGGTAATTTAGGTGACCCCAGAGGAAGTAAATAAGGTCCAGTTACTAGTAGAGACTGATGAAACAGTCTTACCCATGGGCTACCAGGGTTATCAAGAAGTTTTATAATTTCTGACTCTAACATGTATTAATACATGAAACAGCAACCTAAACAAAATCAGTGAAAATTGGTCTAAAAATTATGATGATTTTAACAAAGAATAGCTCTGGTACAATTAAAGTACATTCAAACACAGAACAGCTAAACCTGGGCAAATAAAACTGCCTGGATATTTTGTAATTTCCCTTCATTTCTAGCCATAATCATAATCAGTGTAACTGTGCAAATAATAAAGACAGGGGAAATTGTGATCGTGGGCTTCTCTGATGTGATAGCTACCATAGATAATAATAAAATAGGAAAATGGGATACCGCCTGTTTTAAACTTCCATTTAACAACATCAAGGTACCTACCAGGGTTTATCAGTTTATTTTACTGAATAGGGAATTCAAATGGCTCTGGATATAAGAGAAGCAGAGGAAAGCAAATTAGGGTAAAGAACGGAGAAGCCTCCTACCATGTGGGGCCAAGCCTCCAGACAATATTCCAAGTGTGGTTTCCTGTAAAATATTTCCAGTGTTCTCCAGTGAACAAACAAGGTCACAGGACACACAGCCTTAGGAGAACATAACTAATTCCTTGGAATTTCTTGGACTGGAGTTCTACTTTGACTAAGGTGTGGTGAGAACAACCAACCTCGCTTTTGAGATAGAAAAACACATTCTCACTTATTTTCTGTGTCAATGGTGACATCTAGTGGGTAATGACGAGAATTCTGGGCTTCTGCATCAAATACCGTGTATAGAGGAGGCCTATTAAAGGAGGGGTGCAATTAGCAAGTAGATCCCACTATCTAGTCCATGTTTCTTTTCCCACATTATTTTCAGGAAATGCAGCACTCGATAAAGGAAACATTAGTGGAGGTGCACATTTTGGCTTCATTCCATCATCTAAAAGGACTCCATTACATTCTCTGTGAGACCACTTTGTGAGAGCACAATAAATGAAAATGACTGATTCGCTTTAAAAATGTATTTCTAATTTTAAAATATTAATATAAAAGCACCACAGACACATCTGAAAAGTTCTAGAGAAGGTCCTGCGTTCTGCAGATTGCTGTTATCTTCCCACTCCTACTCAGGTGGGCTGGAGGATGAGCCTCCTAACTTAGCTGAGGTGGCTTAGGTTCCCAAAAGTGAGGTGTAAAGAATACACCTGAAAGTTTCAGTGCAGGCATTCCACCAGAATGAGAACTACTTCATTTGGAAATGCCAAGTTAGTACTATGCATACATATTCATTTCTTGTTTATTCATTAAGTACAATGACAAAATCATTCATTTTCATCGTTATTTGTATACTGAAGATTAGAAGATGAAAAGAACGATTAATGTTAACACTGTCTGAGAAATAGCTCATGAAAATAGTTCACACTCCTGATAATGGGATCCAAATTAGCTTTAAAAATCAGATATACCTGACACCAAAATAAGTCATCTCTACATGGTCATTTTACAACCCAAAATAGGAAAAGAAAAAGTCAAATGTGAGACATACACGCTACACATGCACAGACACATGAGCACTCATATCAGGCTGCTACTAAACTGTGATTTCAGATCTCTAGCAGTTAAAAAGTGTAAGAGTTCCCACTGAAAGAGATGTACAGTTGTGTATGGTAATGGTTTAAAACCAGATTGATATCTGGTAAGTCTAACCATGTTTCCATTTTTAACCATATCTGTATCCATTATGATTTTGTGTTGTCTATCAAGATATCTTGGGTTTAAACTTGGATATATTTCAACTAAACTATTCCTTACAAGAAATACACAGCACCCACTGCTGCACATGTAATTAAATTGAATACCTTGAGTAAAATCAAGTGCCTTTTGTTGTGACCTGGTATAACTTAGTTACACAAAGCAACACAGTCAGACGTGGGACCTGACTTCAGGTCTCCTACCTGGCAATCTAATTTCCTCCTCACTTCACACGCATTATACCTCAACTCCATTCCTCAAGGGGTAACAACTGTTTCTCTGTATCACACCAAAGTGCTCAAAGGAGAGGCACTGTGCAATCAGTGACGATAAAACAGGTCTGCCAGGTTCTGCTTTTATCTTCTGGTCTTGTCCACTGCGAATGTTGCGTAAAATTCATTTAAATCCTTAAATCATTCTAGATCTGCAAAAATGGATATGGACTTGTCAAGACTTTAGGTTGGAAGGGGCTTCTGGATGCCATCTAGTCCAACCTCCAGCTCAAAGCACGGATAGCATGAAAGTCGGGTCACATTGTTCAGAGGCTTGCGCAGGCAAATCCCCAGGGATGGGGATTACAAAGTCTCTCTGGGAACCTATTCCCGTGTTTAATCAGACACATTAGGCAAATTTTTCTCTATATGTTCATTTGGAACTTTCCTTGTTTTAATATCCACCCTTTTCCTTCCCGCTTTTTGCTGTGCATCTCTGAGAACAATCTGCCTCCGTCTTCTCCACGT